CACCTCCAGATTTTGGATATATTTTAGACAATATAGTTATCTATATTCTGGCCAAGTTTAAAAAATTCTACCGTGTAGTTTTTATTTATAGGCCTTTGTTTGAAAAATTACATGGATATAGGAAGTTAATTATATAAGATTATATTACGCGTATTCGTGTCATCCGACTTTGTCGATGATTTTCTATCATTTATTTTTGTGCCACCTCCAGATTTTGGATATATTATAGACAATAAGAATATCTACAATATGGCCAAGTTTAAAAATTTCTACCGTGTAGTTTTTATTTATAAGGCTTTGTTTGTTAAAGAACCGGAATTCTTAACTTAAATATATAAGATTATATTACGCGCATTCGTGTCATCCGACTTTGTCGATGATTTTCTATCATTTATTTTTGTGCCACCTCCAGATTTTGATATATTTTAGACAATATAGTTATCTATATTCTGGCCAAGTTTAAAAAAATTCTACCGTGTAGTTTTTTATTTATAGGCCTTTGTTTGAAAAATTACATGGATATAGGAAGTTAATTATATAAGATTATATTACGCGCATTCGTGTCATCCGACTTTGTCGATGATTTTCTATCATTTATTTTTTGTGCCACCTCCAGATTTTGGATATATTATAGACAATAAGAATATCTACAATATGGCCAAGTTTAAAAAATTTCTACCGTGTAGTTTTTTATTTATAAGGCTTTGTTTGTTAAAGAACCGGAATTCTTAACTTAAATATATAAGATTATATTACGCGCATTCGTGTCATCCGACTTTGTCGATGATTTTCTATCATTTATTTTTTTGTGCCACCTCCAGATTTTGGATATATTTTAGACAATATAGTTATCTATATTCTGGCCAAGTTTAAAAAAATTCTACCGTGTAGTTTTTTATTTATAGGCCTTTGTTTGAAAATTACATGGATATAGGAAGTTAATTATATAAGATTATATTACGCGCATTCGTGTCATCCGACTTTGTCGATGATTTTCTATCATTTATTTTTTGTGCCACCTCCAGATTTTGGATATATTTTGACAATATAATTATCTATATTCTGGCCAAGTTTGAAAAAATTCTACCGTGTAGTTTTTATTTATAGGCCTTTGTTTGAAAAATTACATGGATATAGGAAGTTAATTATATAAGATTATATTACGCATTCGTGTCATCCGACTTTATCGATGATTTTCTATCATTTATTTTTGTGCCACCTCCAGATTTTGGATATGTTATAGACAATAAGAATATCTACATTACGGCCAAGTTTAAAAAATTCTACCGTGTAGTTTTTAGCTATAGAGCTGTTTGTCGAATGTGGTGCCAACTTCACGGTTTATACCAGAGTACATTCTCAAGGAATATTATTTCTTTTATTTTTTGTGCCACCTCCAGATTTTGGATATATTATAGACAATAAGAATATCTAATATGGCCAAGTTTAAAAATTTCTACCGTGTAGTTTTTATTTATAAGGCTTTGTTTGTTAAAGAACCGGAATTTTAACTTAAATATATAAGATTATATTACGCGCATTCGTGTCATCCGACTTTGTCGATGATTTTCTATCATTTATTTTTTGTGCCACCTCCAGATTTTGGATATATTTTAGACAATATAGTTATCTATATTCTGGCCAAGTTTAAAAATTCTACCGTGTAGTTTTTATTTATAGGCCTTTGTTTGAAAATTACATGGATATAGGAAGTTAATTATATAAGATTATATTACGCGTGTCATCCGACTTTGTCGATGATTTTCTATCATTTATTTTTTGTGCCACCTCCAGATTTTGGATATATTTTAGACAATATAATTATCTATATTCTGGCCAAGTTTGAAAAAATTCTACCGTGTAGTTTTTTTTATAGGCCTTTGTTTGAAAAATTACATGGATATAGGAAGTTAATTATATAAGATTATATTACGCGCATTCGTGTCATCCGACTTTGTCGATGATTTTCTATCATTTATTTTTTTGTGCCACCTCCAGATTTTGGATATGTTATAGACAATAAGAATATCTACATTACGGCCAAGTTTAAAAAAATTCTACCGTGTAGTTTTTTAGCTATAGAGCTGTTTGTCGAATGTGGTGCCAACTTCACGGTTTATACCAGAGTACATTCTCAAGGAATATTATTTCTTTTATTTTTTTGTGCCACCTCCAGATTTTGGATATATTATAGACAATAGAATATCTACAATATGGCTAAGTTTAAAAATTTCTACCGTGTAGTTTTTTATTTATAAGGCTTTGTTTGTTAAAGAACCGGAATTCTTAACTTAAATATATAAGATTATATTACGCGCATTCGTGTCATCCGACTTTGTCGATGATTTTCTATCATTTATTTTTTTGTGCCACCTCCAGATTTTGATATATTTTAGACAATATAGTTATCTATATTCTGGCCAAGTTTAAAAAAATTCTACCGTGTAGTTTTTTATTTATAGGCCTTTGTTTGAAAAATTACATGGATATAGGAAGTTAATTATATAAGATTATATTACGCGCATTCGTGTCATCCGACTTTGTCGATGATTTTCTATCATTTATTTTTGTGCCACCTCAGATTTTGGATATATTATAGACAATAAGAATATCTACATTATGGCCAAGTTTAAAAATTTCTACCGTGTAGTTTTTATTTATAAGGCTTTGTTTGTTAAAGAACCGGAATTTTAACTTAAATATATAAGATTATATTACGCGCATTCGTGTCATCCGACTTTGTCGATGATTTTCTATCATTTATTTTTTGCCACCTCCAGATTTTGGATATATTTTAGACAATATAATTATCTATATTCTGGCCAAGTTTAAAAAATTCTACCGTGTAGTTTTTATTTATAGCCCTTGTTTGAAAATTACATGGATATAGGAAGTTAATTATATAAGATTATATTACGCGCATTCGTGTCATCCGACTTTGTCGATGATTTTCTATCATTTATTTTTGTGCAACCTCCAGATTTTGGATATATTTTAGACAATATAATTATCTATATTCTGGCCAAGTTTGAAAAATTCTACCGTGTAGTTTTTATTTATAGGCCTTTGTTTGAAAAATTACATGGATATAGGAAGTTAATTATATAAGATTATATTACGCGCATTCGTGTCATCCGACTTTGTCGATGATTTTCTATCATTTATTTTTTTGTGCCACCTCCAGATTTTGGATATGTTATAGACAATAAGAATATCTACATTACGGCCAAGTTTAAAAAAATTCTACCGTGTAGTTTTTTAGCTATAGAGCTGTTTGTCGAATGTGGTGCCAACTTCACGGTTTATACCAGAGTACATTCTCAAGGAATATTATTTCTTTTATTTTTTTGTGCCACCTCCAGATTTTGGATATGTTATAGACAATAAGAATATCTACAATATGGCTAAGTTTAAAAAATTTCTACCGTGTAGTTTTTTATTTATAAGGCTTTGTTTGTTAAAGAACCGGAATTCTTAACTTAAATATATAAGATTATATTACGCGCATTCGTGTCATCCGACTTTGTCGATGATTTTCTATCATTTATTTTTTGTGCCACCTCCAGATTTTGGATATATTTTAGACAATATAGTTATCTATATTCTGGCCAAGTTTAAAAAATTCTACCGTGTAGTTTTTATTTATAGGCCTTTGTTTGAAAATTACATGGATATAGGAAGTTAATTATATAAGATTATATTACGCGCATTCGTGTCATCCGACTTTGTCGATGATTTTCTATCATTTATTTTTGTGCCACCTCCAGATTTTGGATATATTTTAGACAATATAATTATCTATATTCTGGCCAAGTTTGAAAAAATTCCGTGTAGTTTTTATTTATAGGCCTTTGTTTGAATAATTACATGGATATAGGAAGTTAATTATATAAGATTATATTACGCGCATTCGTGTCATCCGACTTTGTCGATGATTTTCTATCATTTATTTTGTGCCACCTCAGATTTTGGATATATTTTAGACAATATAATTATCTATATTCTGGCCAAGTTTAAAAATTCTACCGTGTAGTTTTTGTTTATAAGGCTTTGTTTGTTTAAGAACCGGAATTCTAAACGTAATTATATAAGATCATATTACATGCATTCGTGTCATCCGACTTTGTCGATGATTTTCTAACTTATTTTTTGTGCCACCTCCAGATTTTGGATATATTTTAGATAATATAATTATCTATATTCTGGCCAAGTTTAAAAAATTTCTACCGTGTAGTTTTTAGCTATAGAGCTGTTTGTCGAATGTGGTGCCAACTTCACGGTTTATACCAGAGTACATTCTCAAGGAATATTATTTCTTTTATTTTTTTGTGCCACCTCCAGATTTTGGATATATTATAGACAATAAGAATATCTACAATATGGCCAAGTTTAAAAAATTTCTACCGTGTAGTTTTTTATTTATAAGGCTTTGTTTGTTAAAGAACCGGAATTCTTAACTTAAATATATAAGATTATATTACGCGCATTCGTGTCATCCGACTTTGTCGATGATTTTCTATCATTTATTTTTTTGTGCCACCTCCAGATTTTGGATATATTTTAGACAATATAATTATCTATATTCTGGCCAAGTTTAAAAAAATTCTACCGTGTAGTTTTAAATTATAGGCTATTTAAGAGAAATGGAAAGTACACTGTAATATAAATCTTAGTGTTTTCTTCAATTTCTTGACTTTTATACATTTTTTGTGATGTTTAAGGACTGTAAAATAGTAATAAACAGTTAAGAATTATTTTTTACTGTTGTATTTGATGGAAAACGTGTTTTAAAGACGATTTTTTGATTTATCATTTTGAATGATAAATTTTAGTTGAATGTGGTGTTGAATGTTGTGATGAATGTTGTGTTGAATGTTGTGCCCAATGTGGTGCCAATTTCACGGTAGTCATAAAATGCGGTTTTGTATCTTGTTGTCATTTGCAAGTTTCTGAGACGGAAGCGGGGACGTTTACCGACCGGGAATTATTACCTTCTACAAAATAACATTCGTTTTTACCCTTTCGATGTTTGAATTCTGCAATTTGCTCTTAAAATTCTGGACGTGATCTTTCACGTTTAAAACCAGCTATTTTGTGTGTTCAATTTAAGCCAAAGTGCAGCAACTCAGATTACTGCCGGTAAAAATCATTGCCGGAAATTTCTTTCCCAGGTGAAATGGCTGTAATTTGAACAGGTGAAGGGCAGTCAATCAAAAGTGGAATTCTTCAAGTGAAATGTCCACTTCAGCCGTCGTTCCGTTGGTATTCTGGGGCAGCACACCTCCTAAACATGTGGTATCCTGTATTTTGGTCACTTACGATCAAAAGACGATCATTACTGGTTCCAAATCAGGTCAACTTGGTATATGGGATATAAGGCATTTGGATGGGGGCAAAGTCGAAGTAAGATGCAACACGACGCTGAAAATCATACATTGATGTCTTTTATTGCTTTCCATATACCTCGAATAACATATTTTAAAGTGTTTTTTCCTTTCACTTGGACATTTTAGCTTTTCTTTCAAGTTCTTGCCTAATATCCGGCACTCAGGGACTCAACTTGGCCACACATAATTTTTCTGATTTTTTATCACTAGGTTGTTGCTAAAAGTTTGATATTTGGTCATAATGATGTTGTGACAGCACTGGCCTGTGCCTGCGTTGGTTTGGAAAATCAATCAGCTGTCATTAGTGCTGCAGAAAACGGGTAAATTTATGTCAAATGGATTGATTAAACACTCATTCTCTTGGCTGGAAAGTTGGGCAAAACCACCCCCCGATTTTTGCTTGAAGAAAAATATTTGCAGCCATGGGATCGCCTTTCCCATATTCTCTTATGATTTGCCAAATTAAGAATCCCTTTCTTTTGCTTGACTTCTGTTGGTGTAATGAGATGGAAGTCTTTGAAAAAAAGAGCATTATTATCAAGTTTGGACATTTTTATTCTAACCAAAGCAAGATATTTCACATAAAATGCAGAGATCTCATTTTAAAGTGCTCAACTTTCCAGCCCGGCTCATTTGCAGTCATGTTTCTCACACAATGCCATTCTACTAGCGAGCTTTGTCTTTGGGATGTCGATGATGGTCTTTGTATTCAAACCAATTTTATACCTGGTGCGCACACTAATTTACTGGTATGTCGAAGAACATCTTTTGTTACATTTATTATCTTGTAAGTAAAGATTGTCTTTTCTCTTATTAGCCATTTAGTGTTTCTACTGGTGGCAGCAAGGAGTGGAGAGTAGTGTGTCATGGATATTACTTGGACGTGTATATTGTGGATGTCCTTACATTGGAGGTGAGTTTTCGTTTTAATTTTTTGCTGTAGTGTAAATTGGTACCGTTAACCATGGAGGGATTTTCTGGGGTACCATCCCCCTCTTCCCCAATATCTGATTTCATCCCTCTAAAGAAAATTGTTAAACCCTTTACGAAACATTTAACATCTACCCAATGTTTAGCTAAACAAATCAATTGTACAGCTTTGACTTGAGCAATGTTTCAACTTTCCACTTGACCTTCGGTGGCTGTTCTACTGCCCTAAAATATTTACTCCTTACCTTGTCTTATGTCACTTATTTACCAGCTAATCCCACCCTTGTAAAAAATATAAAAATCCATTCATGTTGTAAACAGAAAAATAACATGTTTAGGTTCTTCACACTTTGTCGTCTTCAGCCTCTTCCAATTGGCTAGCAACTGCATGTGTAGTCAGGCCTCCGTCGAGAAGGTTGGTATCTATTTGTGTCTGCTGTTTTACATGTTGGTCATGTGAATTTTAAAATGTGGCATTTTAGAGGATGTTCTTGTTGGCGTGACATTGTTAGGGACTATTAAAATTTGGCCTCTCAAGAGAAATCCTGATAACAAGGTAGAGATGTTGGCTAATACACCATTAGAGCACTTTGGACATTCAGTGACATGCTTTGCCTTGTCAATAGCGCTGTAGAAAATCATTAACACAAAAAAACAATCAAGAGCACTTATTGGTAATCAATAGCATTTATTTGTATTGCGTAACTGCCATGACAATTAGGAGTATTCAAGTAGCATAAACATGCATTCATTGAAATAAAAGGACAGACCATTAAGATAAAGCAGATATTCAGATAAACCTGTGCAATATACTTTGTTTGAAAGATGTTCGTCCAAATAGAAATAGTTTGTCATCGCACTTCTCTGTTGTACAAAATATGTTTAAGTTTATTTAAATGTCTGCTTTATCTTCATGTTCCTTCCTTTGATTTTTATTGAAAGCATGTTAATGCTTCTTAAATATCTTCAGTTGTTATGTTGCATACATAAATGCTACTGATTGTCAACTGGTGCTCATGATTGTTCCATTGTGTTAATGAATATTCTACAGACATAAGTCAAAGCATTTAATCCAATGTCAAATGTGCTCTAATGATTTGCAAATGGTGTGTGTGTTTTTGAGTGTTGTTTAGTAAAGCATTTGGCATTCTTTTGAATGAGATATAACACCAAACTTGAATCTAATTTCAGCCTACAGAAGCCATGTATGATCAAAGTCTACCACAAATGGCTGGAATCAAAGCACTTCATGTTGTATGCAATCCATTCTCCCAAAGAACCATTCTGATTGTATCTGCCAAGCAATGGCAGGTTAGTTGTGCAATGGTTGTTCATTTTTTCTCACGTCCTTATTAAACACTGTCTTCATCCATTTTTTTCTTTGTACAGATGTACGATGTGAGTAACTTTCAGTTTCTTGTGGCTGTGCCCGCTGTTGCTGGAGAAAACTGGACAGCTGCTGATTTCATACAAAGTAATTGTGTCTTGGTTTGGTCTAAGGTACATTTAGTGTTTATGCAATGTTTCAATGTTTCACTTAAGAAATGAAAGATGTTTATTGTGTTTGCACTGGCTTATGAAACCGAGGAGACCTTTGGGAGAACTCGAGAGCTCTCACAAACATCTCGAGGTTTGCAAAAGCCAGTGCAAACACATAAAACATCTTTTATTTCTTTTATAAAATAACAATAGTGTGAAAAAGACAAGCATTTTAATATTTCCTCTTAAATGTATTCATGATCGATTTACAAATTCACTTTGACTGGTTGATTGTTTTGATTGGTTGAGCTCAGATGTGTTTTGCAAATGCTAATGCAAATACGGTTCTAGACCAATCACTGCACGTGTCTTATTGTTTTTATTTTATAAATATTCTTATTGTTTAGAACAGGGGTCTCCAAACTACGGCCCGCTGGCCAGATGTGGCCCGTTGCGCCTCTCAATCCGGCCCACAGAGACACTTAAGAAAGCCAATTTCACCACTCACATTGAGAAAACTGAACAGACTAATTGTGATTTTGTTATGATATTACACTTGGTTGAAATTTAACCTTTACATTTTGAATAAGTATTTTCTTAACTAATGAAGCTTGTGTTATGTACTTCGTTTTATTAAAATATTCGCTCTTTGACCAGCGGTATACGGTTCGTCGGCCCTCAACATGCTGGATGAAAGTTCATGTGGCCCTCTGGCTGTAAAGTTTGTAGACCCTGGTTTAGAAGGACAAAAGTGAATTTACGTTTACATGTTGCCTTAAAAGTCCAATTGCCACGGTGAATGTCTTGCACCCAAACAGAAGTGGAAGCTTTTGTTTTAAAAAAACAATGGAGGTGCTATTTATCAAGCTTAATGATCTGGTCCTTTATGAAAAGGAAGCAATTTATTTTCAAATTGGCTTTATTTTGATAATGATACCTGATAGGTTATCTGCCGAAATGTATGGTGTTTCAAATCTCTAAAACAGTTCTTTTCAGAACTCTATGTTTTCTCCCGGTTTTCTTTTGAATTTCTTGGTGTTTTTTTTTGGGGGGGGGGGGGTTTCATGCCTTTCACCGTGGCAGTTGCGGTTATTAAGTTAACATTTAAACTTTTACCACGATAAAGTCTCGTCTGTTTTATTATTACATTAACATGCCATTTACTAACAAACAAATCAAGAGAACAACATGGTATTTGATCTGTTTATTTGATTCGTTAACGGTGGTCTCTTACCAAAGTTGTAACAGTACTATGACTAGGGTTTTACCCCATACTAATTTCTATACCAAACAACTTTATTACGAAATATTATAAAAGATCTGACATGTTGTCTTAACTGTATTTTAAATTGTTTCCTTTTGTATATTTTATTTGGCTTTGGTTCCATTATACTAACGTAATCTTTTCTTCTATGTTATATTTATCTGTCATAACATGAACAGACAACGTCTAGTTTTCCTTTCATCCATGTAAGAATTGATCCATTTATATTTAGGAGGGAAAGGCATTCATGTATTGTCTACCACCAAGGTGTGTACCCCATTGTTCATTTGACATGATTACTTTAATTATGATTTTGTGTCATGTTAGTTAAATCAACAAAATCACTTTCTTCAGGTGTTGCCCTGAGAAAGAGAATGTTCCAGGTAAGTTGCTTTCCATGAAAATTGTAAAGTTTTTACACTAAATGAGAAGGGAATGGGGACGATTAGTTGGTTGATTGTTATTTTATTGAAAATGCTTTAGTTTGATTGGCTAAGCTACTCTCTATCTATTTTTTAATAGATAGCGAGTAGTGAAAAACAAACATTGCCGCCGATCCTGATCCTGTCTCGCTCTCGCGTCTTCCTTAACTAATTGCATCATAGAAATCGAGAGCGAGTAATCTAATTATTGATAGTACGAAATATTATAGTCTAGTATGAAGCATAATATAATATAATACAACACATTATATATTATACATTGATATAATATTACTATTACTATATAAAACAATATTACTTTCTACAATTGTCACGTGGTATACGACCATTATGTACGTCATCAACAAGAGAACCTGGGCCTTTGTCTCATTATGCGTCCCAGGCCCTTTATCTCTTTATGTATCCCAGTCCCTTTGTGTGATTATGCGTCCCAGTGGCTTTGTTTCATTCAGTGGTTTCATTATGTGTCCCAGTCCCTAATCGTTAAATGTGTGCATGAAACATATTGAAAACATTTGACAGTGAAGACAATTTTTCTATATTTTCCACAGCTGGACAAGTTACCGAACGTTCGCCTAACTTTAATGGCCAGCCTCAGTTGATTTGCTCATTTCATGATAGAAGTGAACAGGTAGGATTAGATGTACATGGATAATCTAAAAACATTTATCCTACGTTTAAATCCAAACATCTGGGTTATTTCGTCACATTTTTCATTCATCCATTTCGTGCTAACGAAGGAAGAAAGTTTTCTTGAGAATTATTATACGCTATTTTATAACGATTGAACTTAGCCATGCTTCATTAATAGTTCATCAATATTTAGTTACGTAATAGTTCATTCCTCATATCTGATGCATCTCCAGACTCGTCCCAGTCCGCCTTCATTTGTTCTCTTCAAAAATTGTTAGCAAAAGCATTGTGCATGTTTTCAATATCGTTTAGAGGACTTTCAGTGGTTCGAAAATGATGTTTTCGTACGGTCGTCTGGAACCATTTCACAAGTTGATAATCGAGGGAAACTCTAGCGGAAGGTACGTTAGAACCAATGGCGGATCTAGGGTAAGGCAGAATAAATTAAACTGCTTCATTTTAAATTGAAAATACCATTGCAATGATTCTGTTCGTCAAAATTGCCAAAGAATATTTTCAAGCAAAATTTTACGAATAGGATTGTTGCTAAAGTATTTTGAATTTTGGTTATATATATATATATATGATAATATAAAGGATTCTCTGGATTTTTATTTTGAAATTTTATTAAGCTTTCAACTCGGTGCTTCGAGCCTTCGTCAGAATGTGAGAATATATTATTTACAAAGATTTTGTAGGCGTTAATTTTGTAAGCTTAATAAAAATTTCAAAATAAAAATCCAGATATATCATAATATGCCAGGGTCACCAATTTTCAAATATATATATATATATATATATATATATATATATATATATATATATATATATATATATATATAAGTTTATGTGTGATGATTCTCCGTATAAAACAGTGCTCGATGCCCGAGAGCAGAGCGTAAATATATGTAGTGATGTTGAAAAAAATCACGAAAACTAGAGATTCATCCCATATATATATATATTAACCGTACGTCCTGTGTCCCAAGTGCAGGAGTCACCATTTTAATATGGTGATAGCCGGAGGGCACATTGTAATACACTTTGTGTATATATATATATAAAAATGAAAGTTTTTCCAGATTGTTTTAAAATTATTTTATTGAGCTTTCTACTCGTTGCTTCGAGTCTTCATCAGAAAGAGGAAAATAGTTAATTTCCTGGATTACCAATTCCTGTATTAAATGCCTGGATTACCAATTTTCAAACTTATATATATATATATATATATTTATTAATGTATTCTGACTTACCCTTGATGCACTACTGCATAGAACGTGATGAAATTTGATGATAGAAAGTATGGTTGGGAGCCGGATAATCTTTTTGTGAGAAGCATGCAGACGCGACATGGGAATTAAAAATTAGCATTAATTGTGGGTATTGAATGACTGGAGCAAGGGCTCGTATTATTAATATTATTAGGGGTGAACCACCCTCCCCACTTTTGTAAAAATGTATAGTGCATTGAACTGAATATAAACAGGATGGCTACCTTTACGTATATAAACATGTCTGTAGTTGCACGAAGCGCAATATTACACCCAAACACGCGTGTTTGGGCTTCGAATGACGTATTCTAGCTTACCGTTGTCAATGAACTTTCTTTGGAACGTGCGTGGAAAGATTGAGACTAGTTGAACTGCTGGCTTCAAATTTGGCGGGAGGTAGCCTTTCATGCTTGTATATTCAGTTCGATGGTATAGAGTCTGACACTCCAGAAACAGTGGTTCGGCTAAACTTGTGAATTTGTGAGCTTTTCTATCAAATAAAGACACTTAATCGCAGTATGTGGAACTTCCCACAGTTAGGGAATGTGCGCCTCCCCGGAAGGGTGAAGTTTCGCTTGAGTTAATCGCTAAAAAGAGGTGTTAAACAAATTCAGGCGGAGGGTGATTAAAAATCACTGACAATGCTCATAAATTTTCTGTCAATGTTCAAAAATGGATGATATATTTCAATGTGAAAGTGTGGCTTTTAGTAAACCTAACTATCGTCATATTTTGATAGAATTAAGGTTTGGTCTATCGATGACATCGTTCTCGAACTTGGCAATTACGAAGAGCGTCTACTTACGAACTCTTCCGAAGGTTGGTAGACGGGGGTTAAATGTCTTTTACATTGTAAGAACAATGAATGAAACCAAAACCTTTCCAGAGATTGTTGTTGAAAATTAACTTCTCTTCTGCTGTCTTAATCAGCCCTTACTTATTTCAAACGGAGCTTTGAATAATTCTTGTTGGACAAAGTGATCTATTGAACCACATAACTATTTCGTTATCGATGTTTTTAAAACTAATTTAATTACGATCAACGTTTAAGATGTATCAAAATACGGTAGGCGTTATCTTATTACGACTGAAGAACTTGAGCAGGGCTTGAAATTGCATTTGAAATCTTTGCAACCAAGTAGAGCATCTCTTCTTCGGTGAATTCATTTTTTTCGTGGATCTAATTTCATCACAAACCTCTATTTTTGCTATGTTCTCTGTTTTAACAAGTTTTTTTAACGTCGGAAGATTCAAATTATCGTTCTCGTTAAAATCTTCCAGAACTAACTCTTCTGTTGGGCATTTTTCTATTCTGACGTCTAACTGTTTCTTTGCGTAATCGCGTTCCAGTTCATCACCTGTTGATATTGCGTCCATAGTCGTCAATCTCTCGCTTCCGAGGTCCTCTAAAACTCGTACATTACCGCCGTTGACTGGAAGACAATCGTTTCCCGCCTTTTGTTTTCTTTGAAAGTCGAGTTTTGTTGAAGTCGGTTTCTTCTCTCGTGAAGAGCTTTTGTCTTTTAATCTTTCATCGCTACGTGGACATTTATGGTTCGTATGTATATTCTTTATAAAAAAAACAATGTTTTTGTGAGACATTTTGTGTGAAGCTTTTCGTGAAGGTGTTTTTTTATTTTCAAACAAGTCCTGTTTCAAACGTCGAATTTTGCATGTGTCGAATAACAATTACTACACGACGTCTTCGCTTTATCTCGTTCATGACTTTGTTTTGAGTAAAATGCGAGAGCCCAATTGTAATCGACACGTGCAACATTCAGCGTTTGAAAGGACGTCGCACTTTCGTCGCATAATGCCACCAAACCGATCGAATTTTAATGTTAAGGTCGACCTCAAGTAAACAGTCGAATTTAATTGTTTCATACGCTGAATTTCGCATGCACTTAATTCAAATTATTTTATTCCACACATGCAAAATACTACGTTTGAAAAGGCGTAGGTGTATTTCAGGTCAATGTTTTTAGTTGTATTTTTGAAGCATGTGTTTTTCGGATACTTTGCATTTGTTCGTTTGTTATAATATTCATTATCTACTACACCGTGTATTTTTCTTTTAATGTTTCAATCATGGAAACACATTAGTCTTTTCTAAGAAATCATCTTTCACAACGTATTCAAACATTTCTACATTTTCATTAAATGAAATCTTTAGTTTTGAAAATGTTTTTGCAATAACTCCTACATCATACATCATTCTCCAGTCATTCTCGATATATTTTATGGTGAAGTTGTATTACCTTTTGGGTATTTGGTAGTACAGTATCTTACCTGCGACTGGGAACACTCGATGCCAACATCTTCTACGATCTTTTCCATAGTATTTAAGTGCGCGTCCATGAGTTTGAAACGCATTTGTAAATGACGGTGATTGTCAAACATCGTCTGGTTCCTTGTATAATAAGCGACTATGTCAATGGTCTTCTTCCACTCTTCCATGTCGTCAAAATTGTTGCAAAATATCGCCCTTTCACGAATATTCGGGCTGCATACTTTAATTGTTGGCGATGGGGGACGGTCTGTTTCCACACGTAAATCTCTTCCTAGAAGATTATCTGGTTTCCACTTGAGATTGGATTCCATGATCCAACTTTTCCCAGGCAGCATATCCTCAGTGAAGAAAATATAATCTGATTTGGTTTTTAAACCAAATTTCACGAATCTATATATAATCAGTCGATTTGCTGTGCTTTATATGCACCTACCTCTCAATGCTACTAAAGCGACTTGTGGCATTAAACAGCCTTTCGTGCGCGTGCTTTGTTTGTTACGTCATTAATTAAACTGCAAGCGCCTGATTGTTTACGTCAGTAATTCATCGCTTTGACAACAGCGTGAGATGGATCTTTTGTTGTGTTTTATTTAGCTTGTCTTTTTGCAGTTAGTTGCTTGTAGATGGTGAACACGAAAGTGCAAGGCAGAAGTCGTTGTGATTTTGTGTTCAAGTCACAGTAGAATCCTGATAAATCAAACTTGCTTTACCCTCCAATGTCCCTTATGACAAATGCGTAACAGGCAGAAAGCCAAATAAGAATGAATCTAGAAACAACTGCGGGCTCTTAAGGGTTAACTCCATATACTCTCTTTCACTTGGTTATATTTCTCTGGATTGTTTGAACTCTTATGTCAAAACGTTAAGGGGATGAACCTTTAGCGTCAAAATTGTGAATTCGATTCATACAAATGGAAATTACTCGCCACAGTAATTAAGTTGCCACAATGGTGTTAGAAATTAGATTTTATTTATCTACTTAGGAAGTTCTTGTTTATACAAAGTACGTATCTTTTAAAGTGTTTTATCGCACTTGAACTGTTTGTTTATTGCTTTGTCGTAGCTCACAATTGTAAATAGTAAACCTCTAATACTTTTGGATTAACATTATGTACAGAATTTAACAACCCCCTTCGCCTAATTCAAACTTTTCCGTTTCCTTGAAAGTTAAAGTTATCGGGGTTCTACTGTAATTGGTTGTGAACTTTGTAATGGAAGTCTCGAGATGTTTTATAGCTGATTTCCTTCTTCTCTTGTGTATGTAGCGATCCCGTGTGACGTAAGCACTGGTTATGCTGATATTTGGAATTCTTTGACGAAGCCTTGCGGTTTGTTGGATTCCTTGGTAAGAAAGACTTCCGTGATTCATTACAATATTTTTTTATATACGGAAACATTAAACAGAAGATGGAAAAGCTCTCATGTTATCTCTACATCTGATTATGTTAAATCCATCTTTGACGAAGGTTATTCGAAGTTTATGAATTTTTTAGGCTTAACTATGTATTAAATTTATCTTAGTAGACAATTTCAAAACATGTTTTTTTTTTGAAAACAGATTGCTTGCGTTAGTAGTAGTTCAAAACGTGAATTTTCACAGATGCATTTAATAGGCGAAGTGTTTCCGTCAACTTGAGTTTAGAAGTCAGATCAATTGTAATGAAGAGACCAGACTGTGTATTCAGGTTTCTGCATTAGATCACTCCCGATGAAGATACTACACTGTAGTATTTAAAAATTCAAATTTCGACATCAGGTCTCTTCTGATGAAGGCACAAGACTAGAGTATATAAGAACTCAAGTTTCAACATCAGACCACTCCTGAAGAAGGCGCTAGACTGGAGTGTATTAGAACTCGTGTTTCAACATCAGATCACTCCATATGACGACATTACACTGCAGTATATAGGGACTCGAGTTTCAACATCACATCACTCCTGAAGAAGACACTAGACTGGAGTATATAAGGACTCCAGGTTCAACATCAGATCACTTTAGATGAAGACACTAGACTAGAGTATGTAAGAAGTCAAGTTTTAACTTCACTGCTGTGTAAAGACTCAAAAAGGAAGTTAAATTATTTTAAATGGAACATCGGAGAAAAAATAATCTTTTTTATTCCAGGATGGAAATCAAAAACCAATAAAGATAACTTCAAGCCTCTTTCTTGGTGCTCAAGGAAAAATTGCTTGTGGTCGGCAGGATGGAACTATTATCATAATATCAGCAACTAAAGCAGCAATCACCCAGTTTTGACCAAAGACAACACAAATGCGGCTTGTAAAACTCCTTATTTCCTTTGCCCACGACATGTTATGGTCGCGACTAAAATTTGCTTGTTTTGTTTTACTTTGTAGCTTGGCCCAAATACCAAAAGTTGATTGGTCATGGAAGTAAGGTCACGTGTCTGCTCTACCCTATGGAGAGTATGACCGATATGCTCCTGAACACTTTGTGTCTGGGTCAGCGGACTTCACTGTCAACTTATGGAATCTTGCCACTGGTGTTCTGGTTACATCTTTTCAGCCAATGGTGGCGAGATATCGCGACTCACATGTACACCACCTGAATGCAGCGTAAGTATTTTCCCATCAGCCTTCACTCTAATAATCTGAAAAAAACATTCCCTTTTTGTATTTTTCGAGAAATGACTATCTTTGATAACGAGTCAATTACTTTACTGTCAGAGCAAGAAATAGTAACTCATACCGTTCTTTTTATCATTTTGATTAGATTCGTATTCAAAACTGCATCTGCTCAATAGCTCAAGATCACTCCGTTGCATTGCTAAATCTGCGAGATCATCGTTGTGTATTACTGGCATCGTGCCACCGGTTCCCCGTGCAGACTGTAAAATGGAAACCTGCTGAAGATTTCCTTATCATTGGCCTCTCGGACGGGAGTGTATATGTATGGCAGATCGAGACTGGTAGGTTATGCAAAACTTTGAATGAACCAATTCACTGATTGAAACTCTAATTTTAAGTGAATTAGTGAATCTAGTTTTTATCTTTGTGGGCGTTGTGCCAAATTTTGTTTGTATTTAATCTTTAATTATTCTAATTTCACATTTAATTGTATGTAATGATATATGCACTAAATCACAATAGGAATTTAATTTAATTACCAAAATTAAGAATATGGTTTAACTTGGTCTAACTTAAGTTTGTGTAGATTTGAAATAATACTTAAAATAATGAGACTACAAGTTCACTACGTAAAATTATATACAAACAAGACGCCTGCTTAGGCGTATACTCGTGCTCTGGTGATCAAATAATTTCCGTTTTGACGATGCGATCAAAAAATGAAAGAGTGTGGAAAAAATATGCCGAAAGAAAGTGATTTTTACGGGTTTTTAATTCGAGCAATATTCCCAAGTGTTTGGATCGGGCCACCGGTCATTTAATTGATCTCACATTTGAGAAACATAAAGTAGTTTTATTAAATACCAACAAGAGGGTAGCGTTTCAAGTACTATCAGCAAAAGTATGAAAACTAAATTCCCTTAAATGCCGAATTGCATTACTATAATCTCTCAAGAAAAGGGAGCTTTTTGAACAACAAAGTTTGTAAACAACAAAGTCAAAATATTGATGATATTTCTTGCTTTCATATAGGAATTTAAAAGTATATATCGCACCATGCATTATGTTGTGGCGTAGCTTTGTCTTTCTTGCGTGTATATTTTGCATCCTTCGTGTTATTTGAAAAGGATGGCTTCAATGTTTGTATTATCGAAGAGTTATACTTTGTCGCTCCTTGCAGTCGCCATATTGTGGAAGCGCAAAGCGTTCTGGGTCAAAAAGTCAATTTCTCGACACCGCAAGCCGAAACCGCCGAAACCGCCGAAACCTCCACTCGTGCCCCTCCAGAGCACGAATAAAAAACGTATTGTTAAAATCATATGTACAATAAAATTTCACTACTTCATTACCATTTGGTTACAATGTTCAATCTCATACACAACCGGGCTATTTCGAAATCGTTCGGTTCGGTATGTAAAATCATACAATTTTTCGCCATTGGGTTTAGCCGATTTCTGCCTAATTTTTGTGGTAATATTTGCCAATATTTTGTCACTTGTACTACATAAAATATATTCATGACGGTAATAAACAATCAGTTTAGAGTCCGTTTCCTTCATTACTCGCTGCTCAATCACCCCAAAGAGGTTAATTTATGTCCGCTTTACCCTTCGGAATTAATCATAATAATAATTAATAATTACTCATAATAATAATTAATAATTAATCATACAACGCACAACGCTGTTATGTTCATTTGTACAAATCTAATGAAGACTTTCGCTGTTTGTTTTTTTTTAAGTGTGCATGCGCAGTGAAATCTACTAATAGATTCATACTTCCACTTGTCACGAAATTAATAAAATCTGTGAGTGATTTTGCGCAGACTATGTTTCCACAGTGATTGTTTTTATTTTCGAAGGAAACTTGGACCGTCACGTGACAGGTGATGCTGCTCTTGATATCCTTAATGCGTGTGACGATGAATCAAATAAACAAACGACGAAAGGAAGCCCGAGGCCCAGGGAACTTTTCACGAAAAAATTGTCGTACATCGCAACGAACATTCCCAAGATGCCATCACAAATATCGCTTCGGAAAGTCAAGAAGTCTCGCATGTCTGACAAGGCTCGGAACCACGAAGGTACACGATCATCAAGTAATTTATAACAATTGGTCCCTCACAATTCCCCAGCTTTCTTGATGAGCCTATCAAATACTTCAGTTAAGAAAGGAAAGTTGTTTATTTTGTACTGGCTTATTCCACCGACGAGACCTTTGAGAGAACTTGAGTGCAGATAAGTTTGCACACATTCGACAGTTTTCACAAATGTCTACGCGGTTTGGATAAGCCAGTGCAAACTCGGCCTTAGACCAATCAACGCATGCGTTTTATTGCTTTTATTTCATAATAATCAATGAAATGTTGCTGTAGTATAAGTTGAATCAAAAATTTCCATAGAGCATAAATTTTCCTCTGCACAATATGAAAACTGTATCTAAACATCTAAACTTAATTAATATTTACAGTCGATAGCTATCAAGAAATGAGCAAGAGCGTCCCGGTTCGAGTGACGTCTCTGAGGACTGGACCTAGTGAATCAGAAATTCATGTTATGCTGTTCGATCTGGAAGCACTTATCTGTCATCTTCTTGTTGAAGAATTCAAGATGCAAAAAAGTGAGTTTGAAATGAGAAATATTATCAGAAAAAGGACATATTTTAAACTCTAATTTAAGTTATAAAACAAGACAGTTCAAACTGTAATATTTCGGTTTTATTTTTCAACCATAATCACTCAATCATTCTGTTCGATGATGGTTTAGAAATGAAGCCTAAAAGTGAGTTGCTCATGCATGTTGCTCATACATACTTGCACTTAGACATTCTCTGGGTTTTTTGTTGTTGTTGGATTCCTTGGTGCATTGCTAAGAATTATTATGAGAACTTTACTTTTAAAAAACTGCGAAATACTATCTTTTTTTAGTCGGTTCGAACTCTCGAAAACATCGGAAAGATTCGCAAAAGCAAGTTTCATTCACGTCCGAAAATCGAGTTAGCCCAAATTTGAAGTTTTTAGAAGAAATCCATGATGGTGCTCAGCTCTTAGTCTCTTGTTTGCACTCCTGGGGCCTGGATCCAGAGATTGATGATATTTGCACTGCGAAACTTGGGCTTCTAAAACCTGTTAAACCTGTTTTGTTTGGCCTTCTCACGCATCGAAAGCTTAGCCTTATCATGCCTGGATGGTATTCTCATGCAGCCCGTTCATCGCCTTGCGCCCAAAATTTGCCAGGTGGTAAGTAGCGAAAGATATATAATGAATAGCGTATTTACCATCACCCGTGAATAGCAACTCGGTAGTTCATAAAAGAACTCTCGAAAGCCATGTGGAAAAGACGTGGCAGTTAATAAGAAGTCTGCCGAAATGCGTAAAAAACCATCATTTATTTAATATGTTAATTTTTTAAATCTTTTTAGAACAACCGAGTTACCATTTACCATGTTAAATACGCTATTCAAAAAAATATTCAAGTTTATTACCACTACCAACTCGTTGCTTCACAGCTTCAAAATCTTTGAAAATAAAATTGAGAAGGACAAGAATTGTTTGTTTTTTGTTTTTTTTTTTCTTAAAGAATTTATACATTCTATGGGAAGGACCTCCTTTCAGTTGACATCGTGTTTTTTGCTCGTTATACAGGAAAACTCAATCCTGACGAACTCTACGAATCACGTTGGCAATTTTGTTCTGCATTAACAACACAACATTCACTAAGTATCGTTGCCTTGACCAACACGCTGATGAGCATGAGTCAGATAAGCTTTTTGCCAGACGCAAAAGGTAGTCGCGCTGACAAAACTACGAAAGGTTCTGATGTTGAAGCGATGCCACCCGATGACGCAAGCATGGCTATCGCTTCCATGATCCGTGCCAACATCAAAGCCGGTTGGAGTCGTCTCGCAACATTATATTGTTGTTTATTACCCGATAAACTGGACATGGCTCATTACAGGCCACCACTTCTACATGTTTTAGCCAGACGTTGGCAAGACCGCTGTCTCGAGGTATTGTTGACTCACAGATTCTCAGCTTTAAGATGTTGGGGTAGAATGAGGGAAATACTTGCATAATATGGTCACGATAAGATCTTATGAAATAGGTTGATTCTGGAGCAGATGATCAGATATAATTAATGAAGGGAGAGGGAGGGTAAAATAAATGTAATGTTCTTGACTTTGTTTGCTTATATGATCTAAAGAGAATACATCCTTTTGCTATACTTTACTTTATTGGTTATATGTTTGAATGGAAATTTTGTGCGACATTGGTTTTGAGTTTCTATTCTCGATCACTCGTGGATGGCAACTCTTACTTTATTTCAATATAAGACTACAAAGGACTTACGATACTTCTATATAAGACTTCTACTATCTTAACATACTTCTACATAAGACTACAAAGGACTTACGGTACTTCTATATAAGACTTCTACGATCTTACCATACTTCTATATAAGACTACAAAGGACTTACGATACTTCTATATAAGACTTCTACGATCTTAACATACTTCTATATAAGACTTCTACTATCTTAACATACTTCAATATACGATACTTCTATATAAGACTTCTACGATCTTAACATACTTCTATATAAGACTACAAAGGACTTACGATACTTCTATATAAGACTTCTACGATCTTAACATACTTCTATATAAGACTACAAAGGACTTACGATACTTCTATATAAGACTTCTACGATCTTAACATACTTCTATATAAGACTACAAAGGACTTACGATACTTCTATGTAAGACTTCTACGAACTTAACATACTTCTATATAAGACTTCTACTATCTTAACATACTTCAATATAAGACTACAAAGGACTTACGATACTTCTATATAAGACTTCTACGATCTTAACATACTTCTATATAAGACTACAAAGGACTTACGATACTTCTATGTAAGACTTCTACGAACTTAACATACTTCTATATATGACTTCTACTATCTTAACATACTTCAATATAAGACTACAAAGGACTTACGATACTTCTATATAAGACTTCTACGATCTTAACATACTTCTATATAAGACTACAAAGGACTTACGATACTTCTATATAAGACTTCTACGATCTTAACATACTTCTATATAAGACTTCTACGATCTTAACATACTTCTACATAAGACTTCTACGAACTTAATATACTTCTTTATAAGACTGCTACGGGCTGAAAAGCAATACATGTGCTTGACAGTATGGAATAAACTCTGCAAAACTCTGTCTTCACTGTAAAGCTGCGAAGTTCCGCTGACCCTCTTGTATTAGAGTAAATGACTGCTTCAACACATCTTTGTTAATTTTACTGTTTTATTACTCCTTATAGATTCGTGAGGCGGCTCAGGCCATTCTTGTTACTGAGCTCAGAAGAATCAGCCACGATGGTCGAGTGAAGGTTGTCGAAACCTGGGTACAATATTTACCTCAACAAATCGAAGGGTCCAGTATAATGGAGTCAAATGATTCTGATACAGGTTTGGTGACTTTTGTTTTAGTTGCGGTACACGTTGATGGTACAGGTTCCCCAATCTTTAATGACGCTTACGGGCTATTATTTGTTTGGTTGTCGAAAGCAGGGATGGATCTATGATGGTTTTAGAAAAGGGGGGGGGGTGTTCTTGTAATATGTGTTTTGTTGTCGTAAGTAGAGATGGATCTACGATAGTTTTAGAAAGGGATGGTTTCAGAATTGTTAAAGTAATTCCTTTAGAACTTTTCATTATTTTATAATGACGTTGGTGATGTTAGGCTTTTACATTCATTCAACAAATTCTTTGAGATTTGAATCTCTTTTGTTGTTGCTTAGAAGTATCTGATTCAAGCGGAGTCACAGCTACGGAAGACGATTTCTCTGAAGACGTTTCTAATGTTCTTGATGGTGCGAAAAAACTCTTTCAATATGACGCGAACCGACGCCAGGCCACCTCGATTATAATGTTGGCCGTGATTGGCTCGGAGTTTCAAAAAGACCTGGCTTTGACCAGTAGCAAGTCAGAGAAATCATCCGATGCTGTTGAGAAAAAAGTGTCTCTCCAAGGTATTGGTAGTTGAATGTGATTTACAATTTCTGTCAGCAGCAAATCACGTAAGACGGTTGGTTACAAAACGTCGCTTAATTTCTGATTTGTTGCTTCGTAAAATCATAGAATTGCGTTTGTAGTGGAAAAAAAGACAAATTGTCTTTTATTTTACACGAAGTCAATATGAATTTCTTTAGCATTAAGCCATTCAAACGACTTGCGATGAAGGTTGTCAAGTTGGGTAGATTGAAGTTTTGTACAGCGATATGAGAAAGCTTTTTTATTCGTAAAAAAAAATTTTTGGTGGTCTATTACTTTTCCCTAGTACAGGATGGATTTAGGATGATTTTTAGGCGGGGTTTTCCATTATAAACGTCAGTCAGTCTAGTGTGGATTTCAGCTGTTTGTTGGAGGGTGTTATTATGTGATTCACGAGAAGGCTAGGAGGGGAGGGTGCGCACCCCCCTGCACCTTACCCTAAATCCATCTCTGACCATTGATCCGTTAAAAAAGAAAGTAAACAGATTTCTTAAGCACACTGCAAAAGTGCTATCGTAGTAAAAAACACTTAGATACAAAGTACCCCGTTTGGTTAATAAGATCATCGTTTCTCGAGTCGTTTTCATTAATAAAAATTCTTAGAGCTTTAAAAAAATGTGAAAATTTACCATCTCCAATATCTGGTACACTGGCATACTGCATGTGTTTCAATTCATTTGAAAATCACCTGAGGCCGCTTGCACGAGTCTTGTATAGCGTTATCCATTGGATAGTGAAAATTTTCAAACTTGGAAAAAGGTGCTTGTATTATATTCTTACGACAAAGAAATTTTGTAATCTTGGACACAATACTTAATTTCAGTAATTGCACAGTTCAAATTGTATATTTTTTACTATAAGAGATTTTATGAACGTTTCCAAGAATTTGCTATTCAGTGGATAGTGGTGTTCGGCCTTCGTGCAACCGCCTCCTGGTCGTTCATTGTATCATATTTGGATGCGCTTTTATGTATATATTTGCCATGTTCTTATTCAACTATACATTTTTTATCATCATCGTATAATCAAGGCGAAGTTTTGCTCCAACCACGTGTTGTGTATCTCACAAGCCGAGCTCTCATGTACATTTTACTGAAGTCTCAGTCACTGACCTCGCGAACTTTATCTTACACACCTATGCGACGAACAGCGATCGATTTGATTGGTCGAGGATTTCCATTATGGGAGCCGCACATGGATGTTTCAGCGGTACTCATGGCTTTATTAGAATTGTGCCCGGACAATAGGAGTCACGTGGCATCTTTTTCCAGAGGGTTGCCGCTGTCCAGTGCTGCTGACTCGCAAAGATCAGCACGACATGCCTTGACTCTTATATCGACTGCTCGACCTCTGGTTTTTATAACCACCTTGGCTAAAGAGGTGAGTTTCTAACACAAAATGCATTAGCTACTGTAATGGTAAAACAAATATTTAATAATTTCCAGAAACGTAGCCTTCTACTTTTTAAAGATGTTTGTAATTGGCAAGAAATAGCTAGAATGATGGGGGTTTTTTGGATTTCTAGGAATTTTGAAAATTATTTGATAGTACATGATACACGATAAAATATCTTTGATTTTTTCAACACATGATGATATTGTAGAATGGTGTAGCCAGGTCACTGTTACGTAATTTTCTTGTGTTCACTAATTGCAAATACTAAAGATTTTCAATGATTTTGACTACGTCGCTAATATTTTAATATGAAAATATGAATAGGTAGCACGAAGCTCCTCCGCTCAAGCATTGCTGTCATTCAATCAAGCATCCCCGGCAGCCATTGCGGTTTACAGTCATGTTCGTCCCCAGCCCTCGCCCACCGACATCCAACATTCGTCCACGCTATATCGTTCGAAGAAAGAGATATTGCGCGTGCTGGAGTTGATGATTGATAAAACGCAAAGCGAAGTAATGAAATTATTAACGGAGGTATGAGAATTTTGCTTTGCAAAAAACTTTAATTGCCGGCTTGTTTTTTTAGTGCAAGAAATATCTGAGGTAGAGACAAGTATCTGAGAGATACGTAGGGGTAGATAACACCTGGTAGTAACCATTAATGGAATGGGGGACATTTAGGAGGGTGACAGCTTGTAATAATAATAATAATTTAGTAATAAAAGATGTTTACTGTGTTTAGACAGGCTTATGCAAAGGGAGAACTCGAGAGCAGATCAATGCAAGCCCGAGGCTAAAGGTTGAGAATTGAACCTGCTCGAGAGTTCTCACAAATGTTTAAACTGCTCTAAATTAATCCCTGATTCAGTGATAAACTATATCAAACATACCCCTGCTCTAAATTAATCTCTGATTCAGTTATAAACTATATTAAACATACACCTGCTTTAAATCAATCCCTGATTCAGTGATAAACTATATCAAACATGCCCTTGCTCTAAATCAATCCCTGATTCAGTGATAAACTATATCAAACATACCCTAGCTGATAAACTATGGCATATCGTGGTGATTTTAGGTCGTTCAGATCGTAATTTATTGCGTCGAGTCGAAACAGCTGAAAGAACGTGGCATGATGGAGATATTTCCAGCACTCTTTAAGTAAGTTGACTGTTTTCATCATTTAAAAGCTATTTCCACTTTTTTTATACCGCATGCGACTGTCATCTTGTGGCGGATAGCTCAGAATATATTACCGTCATTCATACTTATAGTATTTAAAATGCTCCAACAACTGCACTGTTGGTAAGAAATTTCTGAAGAATATTTAAGAACCGAAACATTACCTACAGGATTTTTTGTACGTCTTGAACTTTACATTCATTAAACCTTTTCCATCCCCCATCTTTACAGGTCATTGCCGTATAATATAATATTATCCCTTCCCCCCCCCCCCATCTCCACTCCCGTCCGTATGTAAGCTCTTCCTTGTGCAAGTCCCTTATAAGAAAGCTTATGAACTTATAAAGAAATTAATTCTGATTCTGATTATCTGATGATGGTTTTGGAACTTATCTAGGGTCAGGGCTTATAGGAAGAGGTCTACGGTATATTTATTGTGATGTATTCTGACTTGCCCTGAATTCTTTCTGCTGACATCAATACACTGATCTCAATATAGAACTACGTCAGCAATAAGATGAAACTATCGCTCTTTCTTTATGGTGATTTACTAAAAAAAGCTGACATCCGGTTTAAATATTAAGTGTTTTCACTGTCCGCCATGTTGGTAGAAAACCCCATTCAGTGAAAAGAATTTGTATTGATTTCATGGTTGTTGATTATCAGCCCTTTGACCGGTCACTTATCAACATGGCTGCGTTGACGTCACATGAAAACACGCTAACGCCAATTAACTACTGTCCTCTTTCTGTTGTTTTCTCCAATTTCGTGTTATTTTAGATTTCACATGATAAGTTATTGTACAACTACAAGACGTCTTGCAGTGGGCTTAAAATCTGGGCAGATCACTCTCTATGATTTGAGATCATCTAAAGATCAGGTTAGCTCGGCGAATATTTTTTTCCATCTGCTTTTCGCTACAAGAAGTTTGAAGATTCATTTGAAAGTCACCTTCAAATATTCGCACTTAGCGCCAGTATGATATCTATATTGATAAAAGAAGATAGACTAAGACATATAAGATCTTGACTTCCAAAATCAGATATTTTCTGATGAAGGCATTGCACTGGAGTAAATGAGGACTCAAATTTCAACATCAGATCACTCGTGATGAAGACTCTAGACTGGAGTATATAAGAACTAAAGTTTCAACATCAGATCACTCCTGATGAACACACTAGACTGGAGTATATAATAACTCAAATTTCAACATCAGATCACTCCTGATGAACACACTAGACTGGAGTATATAAAAACTCAAGTTTCAACATCAGATCACTCCTGATGAACACACTAGACTGGAGTATGTAAGGACTCAGGTTTAAACACAAGATGACTCCTGCTCCTGTCGGAAATACTATAAAGGACAATATTCCAACATCTGTTAAGTTTCAATATCAGAACATTGGACGTATATTTATGAAAATTATATATTGTCATAGATTATTTCTGCACACTCCTACGCAATCACCGCGGTAGAATTTTCCAAAGATGGTAAACTTCTAGCTACATATTCATACCAAGACTCAAAGGTACACTTTGGCAGGTGAGTTTGCATGCAAACCATAGCGGGTATGTGCAAGAATGTTCGGGACGTTGTAGAACCAGGAGGGTTTAGTGGTACTCTAAGTGCCCCTTTCAGCAAAAATGTTTATTGGCGATATCATAGTTAGTTGTGAATTCTAACGTATCACTGGAAAAAAGGTTTTAAGTTGGTCAAATCGTTGCATTTTTATGGCTTGTTAAAGTTGGCAAAAATGCTCCTTTTAATGGACCTTCGAAAAGTCTGGAACGACGTACTCTCTTGATGTCATGTAAGGACTCCTCAATACAAGATATATGTACCAGCTACCTTAGATGACGTCAGACTACGGCTAGACCCAGGCTTCATGCCACGACGGACAAGGTCCATTGTAAGGCAACTTTAAACCGCCATTACAAGATGAGGATTTGACCAAATTGAAAAAGTTTTTTACGGATACGCTAGATGTTCCACTTAGCTTTCATATCGCAAAAAGTTTTTTGATAGGGGCACTTAAGAAATAAAGATGCTCTCTGTGTTTGCACAGGCTTATGCAAACCGCTGAAACCTTTGGAAGAACTTGAAAGCATATCAGTGCAAGCCCGAGACCGAAGGTAGGGAGTTTGCACCTTCTGGAGAGTTCTCACAAACATCTCCGAGGTTTACATAAGCCAGTGGAAACACGAAAACATCGTTTATTTTCTTTTTTAATAACAATAATGCGAAACATATTAATTTAAAACAAACGCTTTAATTTTCCTGCTGTAAGAAGTATTCATGATTGATTTGCAAGTTCTCTTTGATTGATTGTGAGATTTATTTCTTTTGCATCCTCTAATGCAAAGACAGCTATAGACCAATCAGCGCACGCGTTTTAGTGTTTTATTTTATAAAGCTCTTTAACTCGCTCTCATTGTAATCTAGACGAGTTCCTCGTTGTTCGGTGTTCTTGGATCAAGTGTCAAATGTATTCGCACGCATAACGTGTGGAGAAATGTGGAGATCACACCTGTTGGTCTTAAGCAGACAAAACTTGTATGGGTTAATCAAAAATCTGTCGTGTTACTTTTAGCGGATGGTAAACAGCTTACTTTCTCGGTGTGAATTAATTCGATGCTCGTGTACGATAAAGACAGTTCTAGAATTTTTATTTAAAATGTCGAAATTTTTTCTTCAAATCATCGAAGAAGAATTGCTGATACAAATGGGCCGCAAAGATGCTTTCCCAATTCTTGCTTCAATTCTAGTCTTACTCGTGCAATGTTTGTAACTCAAAAACTGTATTTTGGTTTTGCATCAATTAAAAAATAAAAGATGTTTGCTGTGTTTGCACAGGCTTATGCAAACCGAAGAGACCTTTGGGAGAACTCGAGAGCAGATCACTGCAAGCCCGAAACCGAAGGTCGTGGGTTGCACATGCTGGAGAGTTCTCACAAACGTCTTCGAGGTTTGCATAAGCCAGTGCAAACACGAAAAGCATCTTTTATTTTTTATAAAATAACAATAATGCAAAACAGATAAATTTAAATTTCCTTTACCATATACTGATGGTTGATTTGCAAATTCTTTTTAATTAATATGATTAATGGTTTAGCTCAGATTGGCCTGCACTGGATAATGCAAACTTAGCTATAGACCAATCAGCTCACGCGTTTTAATGTTGTTATTTTATCATAAGACTTAAAATAGTGCAGCTTGAAAATTTTGGCGACATGCAGCGTTCCGGTTTTTTTACATCAATGCGTGGAGTACACGCGAGAAATTCGAGTTTTTCGGTAGTTTGCTCCCAGGCTGCTCACTAAAATTTTTAGATTACGTAGGTTGCATTTGCTTTTACGTATGTATTCTCCGTTTAAATGGCCTTCGAACTAAAAGCACAAGATGTTGATGTTTTACAAGCTATGAGCTTTGCTCCTGTAATATATATGGGACGTGTTGTTGCCGACGTTACATCAGTTGATGGCGGTCAGTCGTTGTGAAACTTGTATGTATGATGTTGCATCACTTGATGGACATAGATCGCAGTGTGGAAAAATGTATGTATGTCTTTCATGTGCATCAAATGACCGATTTCAGCTTAGGAATAAATATTTTGCAGATCAAGTTGTGAATGAGGTCTAGTATCGTGCAAATCATGTTATCATCATAATTGTGTATTTGAAGCTTTAAGAATTGACAATTTTCAATTGATTATTACATGGAAACCGAATTTGATTTACAATTTACAATGACATATAGCTATGAATTATGACTAAAGTGTCAGATAAACTAGCTTTAAATGTATGAAGTCTCTAATTCTAGACATTCGCATGTGATGGTCATTCGTTTTAATGTTCACATGCATTCCTCGGCTGTTCCATTTATTTTATGTAGTTTGGGTTTATGTTGGCTGTCCCTTATTGGCTAAATGTCGTCAGCCATCTTCGCGATAATCAACGTAACGACCGCTGACCACTGTTTCATCCTGCTCACCGAGTACAGAAAATTGAACTGAAATTTATCTATTTACACTTGCCTCTTCCATTGGTGACGTCGCATTGACCGTACGCATCACATGATCTTTCGAGCGACAACCTTTATAAAATGGTAAGTGTTTTGAATTTCAAAGTTTACAGAGTAAACATACTAAACATAGCATAAACAGCACGAATGACTTAAAGAATTTAGTCTGGACTGGGGTATAGTTTATTTTCTTTATAGATGAAAAGTAGATAAATTAGATCTGTTGTGATTCTCTTCGGGCCTGTGGCGAAGACAGACCGATCTTTACTTCTACAATGGAAATTTTTCATCAAAATTTTTATTGTATTTCTTCAGTAAATCAATTCTATTTATTGTTTTGCATTGAATGAAGACAAACATATTTGCATTTTAGGGAAAAAAACGAGCCGGTTTCGCTACTTCATGGGGCATAAACAAACTCGAGTATGTAGGGAAGCCAGACGGCTTTACAAACAAACATCAATGATGTTTGTTTGTAAAGAAACTAAATGAGTTTTGATGTATGTAGTATATTGAAAATGATTATTTTAGAGAAACCATGAGTGGTACTTGAGGTGATTAATTTGAGATATTAATGTTATTTGACCGTCCATTATTTTATCCTGCATTTGGGTCAGTTTCTTTGCATTTGTTTAGTATTTCAAAAGTACTTTTGTGTAAAGTTGTCTTGAAATTCGTGTAAAGTTGTCTTGAAAACACTGTTATAGAATACCTCGGTTGCTTAGCGGAAAAGTAACTGTTTTAGTTCTTAGTTCTTAGATCAACGGTACACTAGCATTAGATGTTTGTAAATGTAGATCATCCATCCAGGCTAGTTGAGTCCTGAGAAGGAATGTTGGTGTTGGTGCTGACTGACGTTTCGACAACCTTAGCTGTAGTCATCTTCAGAGTCAAGATGCGACAACCATTGCTCTAGACATCTTCACTTGACTCTGAAAATGACTACAGCTAAGGTTGTCAAAACGTCAGTCAACATCAACAACAACAGTTCTTCTCAGGACTCTACTAACCTGCTGTCGACCTTATTCCAAAGCCATCATCAGAGAATATATATAATATATTAATCCTATTATTAATAGCATTAATATATTATATATATTCTGCTATCGACCATTTGTCGAACTCAACATCTGAGCAACTGAGCAACTTGCATACAAAATAAATGTATGATGAAAACTTGAAGGACATAAAATGCTGTGAACTTTGTAAAACTAAACATTTATAAAGTGAATTTTGTATAGATGTAGATTGTCCAGGTTTGCAGTCAGTGTCACTTGACGTTGAAGAAGACTTCCTCTAAGGATGTCGAAAGATTGGTCTAAACCTCACTAAAATGGGCGATCTACATCTATAAACTTTAATTTATACTCTTATGTTATAAATTTTCTAATTTGCAAGTAAGAATGATTAATATCTTGTCGGGACATATTAGAATTCATCATTTTGTATGTATTGTAAGTCAATCTTGTTTTTTTTTTTAACAAATTTTCGTCGTAATTGGAGAAGTGGTGCAATTAAGCACTTAATTTCAGACAAGAACAGCATTATGTTGAAAATGATGTGACATTGAACTTTTAAAATATGAATTTCAAGATATGAACAACAAGATGCACAAATGCATGTATTCTTACATAGATGGTATTATCTGTTGAAATTATTCTCGTTGCAACAAAAGGACTTATAATTTGTGAATTGTAAAGGTCAACATTTTATGTTTGAAGTGAATTGAAATGTCCTGTATTCCAGAAAAGATCACACGCGTTGGGGGCAAAGTTCATACATGTTTGAAGACATAACTTACTGAAATTACATGGTGTAATATAGCTGTTTACATAAATTGATGGTCTTCACTGTGCTAAAACGTCGCTGTTTATTTTACTTGTGTGAGCACATGATTGCTTATGACGAGTTTTTAGCTACGTTGAACGCCGCAAACGAGCAAATGTGGTGGTAAATTACCATTTTTACCGCGAGGATCATTTAAAAACTAATTTATTTTCACGCTCTTGTTTACGAAATTGTTCATGCTGTGGCGAAGCAAGCTATAACTTTGATCGTGTTATGTAACCTTTAGATTATTAGCAGAATTTATTTTTAGAAATCTATTGTTTTACGGCGAGTGAAAACCTAATATTTACATAACATGACTAAACTTTCGGGCTGGATATGTGCGAAGGTGGAAACGATTTGTGCAGGTGATCTACATACCAAAAAAGACGGAATCTTTACACGTTCAGCGATTGACTTTTTAGTATCTTCTAACTGCCTCTGGACCGACTTTCTGTAGAAAATAGAAAATAGAAAAGTTGACTCGTTTATCACAATTCCCCATTCTTCCCACACACCCCAATGTGTACCCCTCATGCACGTGTTTCAAGCATTTCAAAGTTAATCCATTTGCCAAATATCCTGCTAAATAAAAAGTTGTTTACACGAGCTCTTTAAAACTCATGATGTTCAGTGTATGTCGACTATTTACGCTTTCTGTAGTTAAAATATATCACGCATATAGGCTTGTGCGTGTATGTGCTTGCACGACTCAGCGGTCAGCACCAGCGATCAAATGCTTGAAGCTCGTGATCGATTATAAAAATGGTGCAATCAACATTTTTGGTAAATTTGGCCTGTTTTCAAAGAATGGCCATCACATTTTGTGTTCATGATTTTAATTTGAACCACTTGACTTATCTTGTGTTTACTTCAAGTTTATTTTGATTCTATTCATGAGAATGTCATCGATGGCTCTCTATTTACCACCATTAAGCACCATGTGAAATCCACTTCATTGTGAAATGTTGCCAGTAAGGTCTCATATGAGTATGGTTGTCCTTGACATAAGTTTCACTTGTGACAATTTTTAGTATAATTAACATATCCTTTACCAAAAAAGAATCACAACATCTATCGAAAATACATACATACCAATCAAGAGTAGCGTAGCCAGCCCGACTTTTTACTCCCACCATGCAAATATTTTTGTGTTCACTAACTGTGAGACCTGAAGGTTTGTAAAAACAAATAAATGAATAATGGTGACCTTTAGAATTTACTTAGCGGAAGTAAATCTGCATTCTGATTGTACACATCAATTATGATTGTATACATCATTTAATATTTATGAAGAATAGCGTTTTCGTTAAAGTTTACGCTTTCATGGGCATTTTTAAATAAACACACCGTTCCTTTTTAAAGTTTTTTTAAATATACAGTCAATGATTGCATTCTTTATAGAAATCCCGTGAAAATGTGTAGCAAACATCGTCTGCCACTCCCCTGCCTATCGGAAAAATTATTTTTGGAGAAAGGTAATAAACATTGGCCTTTTGCGCAACAAATTAAACACCTGTTAAGCATACAGAAACGAGGCAGAAGATTATCATGTGTAATGTTTTTTTACAATGAAATTACTATTTTACAAATTTTACATCAAACAAAATAAAGGATATTGTGTGTTTGCGATGTTGACGGATGGCGTTGCATTTAAGAAATAAAAGATGTTTACTGTGTTTGCACAGGCTTAATGAAACCAAGGAGACCTTTGGGAGAACTTGAGAGCTGGTCAGGTCGAACCCCGAGGCCGAAGGTTCAGGGTTAGCACGTGCTCGAGTGCTCTTACAAACGTCTCCACACGTGGTCGAGAGTTCTCACAAACGTCTCCTAGGTTTACATAGGTCAGAGCAAACACGAAAAACATCTCTCATTTCTTTTATTAAAAGCAATAATGCGAAACAGATAAATTAAATTTATTTCAAACAAACGTTTTAATTTTTTCTCCAACATTTATTCATGATTGACATGCAAATTCTCTTTCACTGATTGATTCGTTGATTTAATTGGTTGAGCTCAGATCCGTTTGCACAGGCAAATGTATACTCAGCTATAGACCAATCAGCGCACGCGTTATATTGTTGTTATTTTATAAAGCCTTTATGAACGAAGAAAATGATCTTAAGTAATATTACACAAACGTGGGATGCCTCCATGGTTATTTGCATTAGCGTCAATTTATTAAGATAAAAAGATTAATTCATTTGTGCGCATTTTATGACACCCTTTTTTTAAAGTTGTGAGTGTCGAACCAATTCTTATTTTTGTGTTATCTAGTATTTCCAAAATTTCTCTTTGACAGAATATTGTTCGAGCATGCTGTGTTGTAAGAGTATGGCTAACGGTGTATTGTGTTGTCAAGCATAGGATAACAATTGTACCCAACTTGCTAGTTTTACTTCTGTTACATATATTTCGGGACATTATCATGATTCACATCCTTAGAAGTCTATGGCTTCTTGTTATGAATGAACATAGAAAAATTTGCATAACAGGACTAAATAAGCGGGCTGACTGCGTCACTTAGTGGCTATGTTATTACCATTACACCAAGTTACCAAATACCAAAGTGGGTATACTTTTAGATAGAAAATTTATTTCTGGATTTTTTGTCTTAGTTCTGCGAGCAAAGCAAGTAATTAACGAATTACGATGACCAAGTTAAGTACCTGCAAACTGAAGGAAAATGGAGAGGACAGGAAGGCATCACTCAAAGGCACGTCGGGACGGTATGTTAAAAAAAAAGTCGAGGATTGGTCTAGCTATTTCGACATTTTCTGGCGTTAAACTGTTCTCATGAAATATCATGAGGCATGCATACTATATTCCGACATCATTCATTTCATCATTCAACTTCACTATAATTACTTGTGTGACTTTGTACTTTGTGATTCGTGATGTTCATACCACATGTGTAGTAAATATGTTTTGTTTATATTATGGCTTGTGTAATGTTACACCGCGTGCATCACGTGCCCTGTAAGCATCCATGTGGCCTACTATATATACTACGTGTCGTTTGTGGTGAGGTCTCAAAGCCGAATTACGATCTTCCGTCGTAAATAATTGTACTACACTTTCCATTTGTAATTTCCACAAAATCGACGAACGCCGAACTGACATTAAACAATGGTTAGTCAGGACTGCGGATTAGTTAACAACGGACAAGATGATGTATTTGTCGTCGACTCAGCCCCAAATGAAAACGGCTCCGTGAATACTCAGACGCCGGTAATGAAGAATGCTGTGAGTGTTACCATTGAATCGAAGGATGACCAGGAGCGCGATTCTTGGGGCAACAAATTTGAATTCCTGCTCGCCACCATTGGCTTTGCTGTTGGCCTCGGAAATGTTTGGCGTTTTCCATATTTGTGTCAGAAAAATGGCGGAGGTAGCACCCTTTGTTTAATTTATTAGTTCAAGTATTTTTCCGCACAATTTTCCATCGCACAAAGCGCAGTTGTGTGCCACTCTGTACTGTCGCCTCGCGAGCTTTTACACATGTTGTTGTTGAAGCTATATTAATGCTTTTGGTTGGTAGCGTCACTATTTAAATATTTTCTTCATATTTTTGTGTTTTATCGCGTGCTTTTTTTGCGCAAAGTAGTATAGTATGTATGTGTGTTTATGTGTGTGCGTCTTTTGTCTTCTTGAAATTGGACGCGGTTAATTCGAGTAGTCTGATGATTTCCTGTTTCTCAATTTTAATGTTTCCAGATCTTAAATGATACAGCATGGGTAGTGCTGTTTGTTTCATTTGAACGTACAGTGTTTGAATTGGGCGCTGAACTAATTGTTGTCTTCGAGATCTGTGTTTTTGGGGGGAGGAAAATTCAACGTTATGATAATTGGTGTCTTAGGGTACCCCCGAAGCTAGGTTTGGGTACCTCTTCTCCACTAACAAATCACTTTGGACTTTCGATACTTTACCAAAACACTGAAGTAAATTTCGTTCTTGGGTTTAGTAAAATCTTTAGTAAAATCTCTGTTGTCTTGCTTACCCAGCCTTTTTGAGAATCGTGCTACATGGATATAGTTTTAGATAGCCGTAGTAAAAATATTTATCAACTTTTGCCCGCGCGTTTTAATGAAAATTCTCAAAGTGCATTATTTTCGAAAATATATATATATATAAGCTCTAATGTAAACTTACGAATAGAGAACTGTTTTTTTTAAAACATAAAATCGCGATAGCATCGCTTTATCTTTCCAGTCCTTCACATTTAAAAGTACTTATGTCGTTATGCATGTCGCAATTAAGAATTGATTGCGAGATTGTTGTTCCGAAATAGGGCGATTTTCGACTCATGCTTCTCTGTTAAAAAGAGACAAATTCATAGAAATGTTGAATATCGACGCAAATGTTTTCTGTTCATGTTGTATTGATAACAGCACTGTCAAAAATTTGTAAGCAATTCCTTCAACGTGAAAGGGCATGTCGCTGTAGTTAACTGTTTTCATACGTTGTACAATAAAATTCTTTCAATTTTTTGCTGTGACATTATCACTGATATACAAAGAGACGTCGCTTTCCTCGAAAATATGCTTCATTGCAAAGAAATACTTTTTTCTTGTATCCTAAGCAATAGCACATGGATATGTGCGTTTGTTTGCTTAATGCTTATTTTGCGCGTTCACGCTATTGAAACCCCCCACAAAAAAAGAAACCCTTTCACAGTTTGACCGAGAATTAGATTTAAAAGTTGTTATAAGTTTTCATTGTAAAACAATTGAATCAAGTTAGGAAAAGTTAACGGCGTGGTCTTGTGACGGTGCTATAGTTGTTTCGCCCACGAATGAATTGCACACACGCAAAGCATATGAAGATACATCGCTAAATTCGGGGTGTTTTTACTCTAATTAAACTAGTTGCGAGTAACTGAGCATGTTTTCCTTATAAGTGATTACCTACAAACTCATCAGACTAGTTAAAAGAAAACTAAATTTTCTAAAACTTCAGTTGTTGAAAAGTCAATTTGTTTTTCCTGTTTTTTAAGGGTTTACTACCTGCATGTCATTAAGGTGAAACATGCTTCATCGTTGAACAGGACGTCTGTCATTGTATGTGTGTGGGTGTAGGACACAATGCAGTCCTCAGTTTATAATCCATTTCTCTCTATATGTTAATTTTTCTCTTATAGTTACGTGCTTTCAAGCCACTTGATAGCTAACGCGATTTTTTGACCCTTGGTTATGTTTTATGAAAAACAAACGTATTAAACAACATGACGAAGGTCTGTTTTTCCCATTTTCAGTTAGTAAAAAATGACCTTGTGAGCTTAATCTGTAAATTCTGGAAAACCATATGAACGCCCACCACTCCACCTTCCTAAAAAGTAGTGTCAATAATGTCTGCATTCATAATGTCATGCTGCCATTTCATTGGCTGTTCACTCGCGAACCGTTGGCCTGCCTGTAGCGATATTCAATTTTCAAAGTCTCATTGATTGGCGTGTCGGGCAGCTTCATTTTACACTGCACGTGTTCGGGAAACGTTTCTACGTTGTTTGTGTCCATTCACACCTCGTTTTAATACATTCTAATATTTGCGTGCTGAGTGTTATGTAAGATTTTATGTAAGATCCAGTCGAATGCCTGCATGCCTTGGCATGAAAGAGAATTCACAATTTCTTAAACACCGTGCATTTTGCGGTTCACCAACCAGTAAGATACCATGAGTATAGTTACGTGAGCATAGCTGCAAAAGTTTACGAGAAACACATAAATTGGTACCCCATTTACCCGAACCTGCTATTGAAGAAAAAATATGCGATTTCCCTGTGGACGCATTTTCTATTTGACGCCAATTTCATACACGAGTCTGGGTTAAGCGCCCTTCATTTTTCAAAGTGTGTTTAGGAGGATTTTGAAGTTTTAGTTAGAGGCGCTAGATTTAAGTAGGAAAGAATTTAATGGAGTTCCGGAGAATCGGTTATAGCGTACGTCTGTATCTAAGGAAGCCTATTTATAGCGAGACTTTAGGATATTGTTTTGGAAGGCGGCATACGCAATTTTAGTGGGCAGTGATAAATTGAAAATCAGTAGATTCACATGTTATTTAAAAGGAACATTTTAGTGGGTTTTATCCTGACTAGTTAAAGTTTAGTTAGAAAATGTGCAGTAAAAAAACGCTTAAAATTTGTCATGAAAGGAGGTAACGTATTTTTAAGAAAGGATGTCAAAATTAATGGTAGTCTTGCATGGAAAGATCTCTCATGTTCTTTGAATGACGCTCATGTGATTTCAATTCAGCATCATGTGACTAAACAAAATATTTGCTGCATGTCGTGACCTTTGACCATAAAAGTAGATTAGCGCACAGAAGTTAGACAAAACCGCAAATAGATGAAGTAATCTAAACAAACTAAAGGAAACCGTGAATAGGTAAAATATGCGAGGCTGAATAACGTCCGGCAGTTAATTAAATATTATTTTGGCAGTTTGCATAGTACAGTGACGAATTGCCTCATTTCAAATTCAGTGAAGTTATTTGAATGACGTTCGGGTGGGCGATTGCCTAACCTCTTCTCATTTTAATTACATGGTTTTAAATATGAATTAAACATTACATATAAAGCATTAGTCCTTGGAGGTGAAAACTTAAAAACAACAACAACAGCCTGCATCATAAACACCTTAAATGCCACTGACCGTGGTATTTATGTGAGAACGGCCGTGTTGATATTAATTCTGAGAGATCGCAAACTGTGTTAAATGCATTAGTAATAATGAAATGGTGAAAAAAGGAAGTTTTCGGTTGGTTGCGGAGACGTGAAGATCAATAATTGTGCCATCCCTTTAGAATTTATTTATGCAAATTTCCCTCTCTTGATGATTATTTCGCTATCTACGCGAAGTGAACTTGCTATTTTGTCATTTCGTAGAAAAATTCGAAATCGTCCAAGTCTCGTGTTTTTTTAACAGTGTTGATCTAACGACATTGACCATAAGGTTGATACAACAATTTCTGATTATCTTAGTTAACGAGAAAGCGACCTTTAGCAATGTCGAGAATTTTCATCGGAAATTGTCGGGGTTTTTTCCGTCTACGATGTACATTCGATCGTATAATCACTCGAGATTCTAAAAACTTTGGATGTAACAACGATTGATCTCTTAATAGACGCTAAAAAAGATAACTGAATAAACATTATGAATGAACGTTTAGGGTATTTCAGGATTTTTAATTACATGTATGTGAATATTGATAAGATGTTTTTACTGTATAGGGTTAGTCCATTTGGTACATACTCCAAATTTTTCAAATTGTTAACACTCCCCTTTGCACACAAATGGACGCTATCCGGCTACCCTCCTCTTCACACGCAAATGTGTTTCATATGCGATAATAATTTTATAATTAGCGACTGAATTAAAATGAATGAAATTACGAAATTCTGCTCGCGACGCTCATCTAACTTTTTGCGTTTAACATGATGGCAACAGCAGTACATTTTATATACATAACGCCCTTTTCATACGTGTGGCCATATCCCCCTGCACGTGTAGCCATATCCTCCTGCACGTGTCATCCTATAATAGCCATGATATTTTTTTTTAACACCTGAAGGCTTTTCACCTCAAAGCAGCATCGTATGATTAAGTCGTTATTAGTTAGTGTTGTGATACCGTTACTGTTGGTGGTCACCCTGTTTTAAAGTAAAGCCAAAAATCCATAAAATTTGTTATCTTAAGCTGGCTTAAGTGTCAATATAAGCAAGGCTATTCGAGGTCACCAGATTAAGTGTATAAAGCATTCCAATTATTTGGCAGTTAATTCGCCAGTGTCATTAAAGTAGCATTTAAAGTAATCGATTTGATGTCAAAGTATATTACAACACTTCATTGTTAGAGGTGTTTACGTCTCAAAATACCTCATTAAAGCCTGAAGCAAATTGTCTGTTTCGAATTTCTGTACTTTTTTGGGTAATCGGCTTAAACCTCAGGGAGTTTTTTTTTTAAATAGTTTTAAAGGACTCAAACTTTGTTTCGAAAAATGAAAAAAATTCCGTTAAATGTGGTCGTCACTGCTCATTATTTACTTCTTTCTGATACATTCCTCCCATTTTTCTTTCAGGTGCATTCCTTATACCGTATTTTCTATCCCTCTTTGTCCTCGGCATCCCCATCTTTCTCATCGAACTCGGTATTGGACAACGTCTGCGTGCCGGCGCTGTCGGAGCCTGGAGCCAAGTGAGTCCCTTCTTGGGCGGTATAGGTGTGACGTCGATCGTCTGCTCCACCTTAATCTGTATCTACTACAACATGATCGTTGCCTGGTGCTTCTATTATCTGTTCATATCCTTTCAAGATCCCCTTCCATACGAACACTGCCCCATAACTTCAGGCGGTAACCTAACCGATCCTGAATGCCAACGGGCCGGAGCGACGTCGTATTACTGGTATCGTAAGACGTTGGATCTTTCACCTTCCATTGCAGAGTCCGGTCACATCCAATGGCATCTTGCTCTAGTCTTGTTACTCGCATGGCTTGTGGTATTCTTATGTACGATGAAGGGTGTGAAATCGACGGGAAAGGTAAGCACATCGATGATCTTCTTCGGGATATCATGGCGGTGTTGGAATTTTGATGTCAAAATGGAATTTTCATTCTTTATTTAGGCAGTTTACGTAACTGCATTATTCCCGTACGTGGTTCTTGTGATATTTTTCATCCGGGCAATCACTTTAGACGGCGCCGTTGGGGGACTGAAAAGGATGTTTACACCGAAGGTGAGTATCTTACAGACTGCGTCATGTTTCGATGAGTGTTTCAAATTCTATATGGTGAAATAAGGAAACACGCTCCTAACGTTCTTGCTAAGATAGATATGGAAAGGATTTGGAAACGGTACGAAGTTTATTTATCTCAGTGTAGTGAAGAAGCTCCCCATCCCCTGCGCAATAAATGACATTACGGGATCTTATGGTAAAAAGTATTTTGGCAGTCAAATGTTGAAATCAGGATTTCACCTTCTTAATACACAACATTGGAACATATAAGACACGCGTTGACGACAGCTTTTATTTTAAGTGTCTAACCTATACAAATATTTGTTTATAATAGTAATAATAAGGTACTGGGGATTCAAAATGTAAGACTCAAGTTTTAACATCAAATAATTTTCATGACGAACTTACACTATTATTGTTATACTTAAAAATTTAAGCTATTACAACAGAACACTCCTTTAGAGACATTAGACTTATTATATTGAAAACACTGATGTTTGGAGGAACTCAAATCTTAATGGCAGGTGACTACTGATGTAGACTTAATACTGGAGTGTTTAAAAAATTCGAGTTCTTTTGATCAGATCACTCCTGTTGAAGACACTAGACTGGAGTAAATAAGAGTTCAAGTTTCAACATGAGATCACTCCTGATGAAGACACTAGACTGGAGTGTATAAGGACTCAAGTTTCGACATCAGATCACTCCACATGAAGACATGCGAATATAAAAGCACTCAAGTTTCAGCATCAGATCACTCCTGATGAAGACACTAGACTGGAGTATATAAGAGTTCAAATTTCAACATGAGATCACTCGTGATGAAGACTCTAGACTGGAGTATATAAGGACACAATTTACAATGACTCCTGCTTTGGCCATTAGACTACAGTATGGTCACCTTGGTCACCTTTCTCCGCTCTGTCCTGCTCGGGTAGCGGGTCTTTGCCGGAGACCCAGTTCTATCAGACTTCTCCAGGCTGCTCTGTCCTGGGTATCCTCTTCTTTGACACCACATAGCAAGGCCATTAGACTACAGTATAAAGGCACTTATTTTTCTCGATGAAGAACCTACATCACCGGACTACATCAATAAATATAAGGAAAGATTAACTTCATTATAATAATTAGTAATCAAAATTATTATTTATATTTTACAGTTTGAAACACTCGCCAACGGTAGAGTATGGCTCGAAGCAGCTACGCAGATCTTCTTTTCGTTAAGTCTATCGTTTGGTGGCCTCATTGCCATGTCTAGTTATAATCCAGTAAAAAACAACTGCAAAAAAGACGCCATCATGGTTTCGTTAATAAACTGCGGCACGTCCGTGTTTGCAAGCGTTGTTGTTTTTAGTGTTCTTGGATTCAAGGTAAGAGGGGTGGACGGGGATATGTAGGTATGTCGAAGTACCGCGTTTATGTTTAAGAATATAGACGTGCATAACACCATGCACGAATATATTACATAATATTGAAAAACGCCTTTCTTTTAATAATCTCACGCATTTAACAGTACTGTTTCTCTGACAAACGCCTTTCTACTATAATCACGCTCCCTCTTCTTCTTTCATTGTTTATAAAAAGATTTTTGTATCAACAAGAACAATACCTGCTGTTCACGAAACCTTTTCTATCATTCTTTTTCTACTTTAGGCAAAGACTGCACGTGACGAATGTATTGAGTCTCTTCAGTACAGCATATCTGACAATAAGACTTGTAAAAGCTTAGATGATTACCTCAGTGACGTAAGTAGAGCCGTTGGCCAATCATATTTACCTAAACACTGCTTTGAATAGCGTATTTGCCATGGTATATTACAACTAGGTAGTTCCAACAACTAGCCACGTCCCCATTTTGAGGGTGATGTCACTTCTTGTCGTCTTCGCTATATTTCATTTATGGATATCTTTCAACAGTTCCTGTTAGAACTACCTATAGTTTTCATTTACCATTGAAAATACGCTCTTCTTTATTACCGCAAACAAGTCTTTGTCTTACAATTTATTTAACTTCGCGGTTTTGACGAATGTTTAATGGCTAACTGCAAAATATCACGTGACCATGATTGGGGTTTGCGGTTCAGGTTTTAAGAGGCCCTTCTTACTGTAGGTTAATTACGGCAAGCTTTTTAGTACTTTTAGTAGAACAATCAAGTGGAGTTTATAGCTCAATATAATTAATTTATGTAGCTATACATCATGAATATGCCTTTTTTATCGACAAACTCTTAACACAACATGAAATTTAGCTCAGGACAATGCGAATTCTAAATTACAAATTTAAGACGCCATACTAAATTCAAATTTTTTCAAAACGGCAAACCTCTACGGCAAGCGGGTAGATCAGGTTTGCCGTTAACACCCAACCAGAACTCTCTAATGACCTACAACTTAACCACTCCTTACCCTGTAAGCGTCGAACGATGACCGACAATTGATTATGAATCCCATGACAGGTTGCCCAAGGTACGGGATTATCATTCATTGCGTTTACGGAAGCTATAACCAAGATGCCAGCACCTCAAGCTTGGTCGGTATTGTTCTTCTGTATGTTGCTCACTTTGGGATTGGGTAGCATGTTCGGAAATGTCGCTGGTATTGTCACACCAATTAGGGATCTCGGTTTAGTCAAAATAAAGAAGGAATACTTGACTGGTATGATATTTCTGACACCACAATGAATGAGAAGATATAAATTCATAACGATAGGTAGATTACATCCAGT